CCCCAAAACCCCAAAACCCCAAAACCCCAAAACCCCAGCCTTTTTGCGCCAAATGGAATTTAAAAATTATTTTGTAATGGAAAATATAGGAGTCTTAGCTAACGCCCGGTTTAAAACAAAGAAAGATCTGAAGAGCTCCAAAAGACATCATAAAGCACCAGAAATCAAAACTTTCAATAATAGCCGACAGGAATATTCTGATAAGGCATCTAAAGCGGATTTCAAGTCTAACTGCAGGTTTATGGGTGTCCAGAAAGTAAAGACTAAGAAGAAGAGGACTACTAAAAGTAATGGGCAGAAGGAATTAAGCAATGTCTCTCCCGTTAGCAGTTTTAAGATCACCGCTAGTAAGCTTAGAGCACAAAGTAATAACCAAAGAGAGGCAAGGGTCGAAGGTAAATTATGCATTTTATCACTAGGCTACTGCAAGAGAGCGAGCATTAGATCCAAAGCAGGCTCTACTTCGAATTACTCGAATAATGATTCTTCAAAGGCTTCTTCATTCAAAATTCTGAATAAGAGCATTCAAAGGAACAAGACGAAGGAAAAGTTGAGCATATCTGGCTCAGTCAAGGCTGGAAGGCAAACAAATGGATATATTTCCTCTAAGAAAAGACTCAAAATTAAGAAAGGGAAGATCTGTAAAGAAAAGGAAAATATGAGCCAAAAGATAAACATTCATAATGAACGAGTCAATGCAGTCAAGTCATTGATCAAATTCAATAAGAAGAATGAAAAGTCAGTTGACCTGGCTGGTTCGAAGAATAATACCAGCGGTAATCAGGAATTTATAAGCCCGAATGGAGAGACAGGGAATATCAAGAACATGATAAAGCTGCATCTCCCCACTGAGAAGAAGGATATGATGATGTATAAGCAGAGTAAATAAGTTGCAACGGAATTTTAATAAATTACAAGTAGTCTATAACGTGTCGAAAGAAAGCACCAATGATCAGACATATAATAAGTCCAGGGCTAATTCTAATGAGGTCAAGAAGAACCACATAATGCCATACCAGATCTTTAAGGGATCTAAGAACAGCTCAGTCGGTGAGTAGAATTATGCATATCGATTCTAAATCTTATGGTCCCTTTTTACATAGTTATGAATGTGCATGTTTAGTGAAATATCCCTAGATCTTTCTAGATAATGACATTGTTTAGTGAATAATGGCAGCAAAGGAAGTTCACTCAATAGGAAACAGATTAAGCTCAAGACCTCCCATAAGTCTGGGAATAAGAGCAATAGGAACTGTATCAAAAATAAAAAGATTAGCCAGGTGAATCTTCCTGCAAGAGGGAAATCTGAGGAACAAAAATTCGACGAGTTTCTAATAAATGAACGAGGGTCTAAAGACAGGACCGGTATCAGCCAAGGTATCTTTGAACTATAACCTCTAGATGAAATTGAAGATTTAATCAGACAGAACAAGTCTCATTTTAAGAAGACTGGAAAGATACATACAACTACTCTTGAGTATTATTCTTATGTCAAAGTTATTGGAAAAGGAGCTTTTGGAATCGCCACTCTAGCTATCCACAAGCTCACTGGGAAATATGTCGCCATAAAGACGATCAAGAAGAGTTACATCGTTGATGAGTATACTAAGAAGAAGGTCTTTCAAGAAATCTTCATCTTGAAGAAGATTAGGCACTGTAAAGTTATCCGACTTCTTGAAGTCTTTGAGACCAAGAAGCATATCCTCCTTGTTATGGAGTATGCAAGTGGAGGAGATTTGCTACATTTCGTTAGAAATGTAGGAAAACTTCCTGAGTATGACACTAAGCACATCTTCAGACAAGTCCTGTATGGCCTTGCTCATTGCCATTGAAGATCAGTGATGCATAGAGACATCAAACTAGATAATATCTTACTTGACAGTAAAAGTAATATCAAGTTGTGAGATTTTGGCATTGCTAAAATTATCGGCAGAGGAGTCAAAGTCCGAGAGCAATGTGGAACTCCTGCCTATCTTGCCCCAGAAATTATGAATGAGGATGGATATGAAGCATTTTATCCTGACTTTTGGGGATTAGGAGTTCTTCTGTATGCTATGCTATTCGGGTGTGTGCCTTTTAAAGCTAATAATATGGATGACTTGCATCAATTGATCCAAAAAGGAGAAATTACCTTCCCTGATGACGCCAGTCCTGAAGCCATTGAGTTAATAAAAGGACTCATTGTTGTAGATCCGAAGAAAAGATTGTCTATTCCCCAAATTCTGGATAGTCCATGGCTCAAAGAGATCTCTGAAGACTCTGAAGATTCAGAAGATGAGAATAAGGAAGAAGCAGTTGAAGAGAATAATCCTTCTACTAAAAATAATGATGACGAGGGTGAGCTTATCAAAGAAATAGGAGCCAATATTAACTATGTTAACGTTGACAATTTATTCTTTGATCAAAACTATTCGACTAAGTTATCATATACAGATTACTGAAGTATCACCGAAGACTATTACACCCATCACATAAATGAGAGTGCGTTAAAGCAGGTAACAAGGATGGGTTACCCAAGAGAATTCATTCTAAACTGAATAAATTATGGAGAGCTGAACCATGCCACAGCCTCATACTACCTCCTTGTAATGGATTAATTGTAAGAACCTTTAAAAATAAATGATTGAAATGGGGTTTTGGGGTTTTGGGGTTTTGGGGTTTTGGGG